AAATACCATATTCCTCATAGCTTCTCTAGAGAGAGAATGGCAACACAAAATTACCAATTCTAGGAATCATACTCAACTTAATTTAGTTTTCAGAGTAACATTCAACATCGCTACTCTGTGCACGACAGTTTTTAAATTTAAGAACTTACAAAATTATTTGCTTTTTAACAAGATAAAGCTTACTTTTATTTAAATGGTATTTAAGATTAATTTCGTCTTAGTTAACTTTAGAAGTATAATACGCAAAAACGAAGTACACGCAAGAGTAAGGATGAGGAAATTTCAGGACACGAATTTCTACTTTGTTTAAGTAAAAGGCAATGTGGTTAGGTTATACGTGTTTTTGTTGTGCTAATTTTGTCTATCACAATGCTTTTAAGTTAATTGTTTTATTTATTGCCATTGTAAAATATTATAATTATTTTTAAAATAATCATAATAAATTTACATTTTCAAATTTTATTAGTATAGCAACCTTAATTATTTTTTTTAAATTGTAAGCTACTTCGGTGCCATTTTTCTTATCTTTTACATTATGGTATAATTTTTATGTGTAGACACTGTCTGTAACAACTATAACTTTTATGGCCACGAAAACCGTATACTCTCCTTTCACCATGTTTGCTGTAAACCATTTAAAACTTTTTGAATAAAACTACCTTTTCGAATTTATGTGTGAATGTATTTTGATTTTTGATTCTTGACGAATGATTTATAGCAATCATGGTCACGGGTGTTCGTAAATCTAAAAATATAGTTTTAGTTGTAATTCCTTACAATATTTTTATTAATTTTGAGCAACATTTTTATTGAAGTAATTTTTTCTTTGAATTAATAGGTTAAAGGTAATATATAAAGTTAAAAAAAACCAAACGTGGTATAATTGCTTTGAAACTATTATGAGCGTAGCATTTTTGATAATAAATTCTTATAAAGAAATAAACACATTTACAAATTTTTACAAAATAAAAAATATAGCAAATATTACGCTTCGACTTAATGAAACAAAATTCCTTTAAAATATTCTGCGTTTCAAATTCGATCACTGCCTTTTATATAGATACAGTTGGCTTGATACCAAATAAGGGCTCAAGCTTTAAGATTTGTAGGGCATATGTTAGTCTGGGTTTCTTTTATTGTAGTATTACAGTCCCTTTTCAACGATATTGCCATAAAGGATCCTTTCACGAATATTTTATAAGCCGTATAACTTTATTATTACTTTTCACCTATTTTGGAGAACTTTATTGTGGTCATATGTATTTGAATACGTTTTAACAATCCATATGGTAAATTTTGCATATTTATTAGGTAATTTTTTTTATTAGATTAGCAAGATAAAACTAGAAATAAGATGTCGTTACGTGAAAGAAAAAAAAACTTGATTGATTAATAATAATATATCTTATAAATGCGAGAATTTGTTAGTGAGAGTGACTGTATTTATAATCTTTTTAACCGGAAATGGTTAAGCATATTTAATGCAGAATGGAGATATCCTTTTCATTCAATTCAATTACCTTCTTTTTTTCAATTACATTCAGTTCTTATACCGTCCCATTGCTGGGCAAGGCTCTTCCATCAATACGAGGGGTGTCAAACCATAGTCCAACACACTGACCAGTACGGGTTGGGTCTTCACATGTCGTTCTTTCTCTCAGACATGCAGGTTTTTTTCTTTACAATTTCAATAATTTATTTTATAAAATTCATTCCATATCATTAAGCTAACCAAAGTACAAAAAATAGCTTATGAAAAATGTACAAGTAAATTCACCTTCATCATTGTTATATTACAACTATTAAGTTGTAATATGATAGACGATGTTCAACCAATCCCTGTAGAGCGTGATAATCATCAAAGGGATAGGGATCCAATAGCCCAACTTTACATTAATTGTTACGATATCAGTCCCTATATATGTACGTATATAGGGACTGATATCGACTTTATCATATAAAGATATAAGCGAACCTAACATTACTCATTGTTAACATTTTGGTGCACAAGCTTATGTAGCCTTGAATTTCTGTTTTTGTTCCCTTACTTAAAATTAGTATGTAAACATATTTCCATTTTTCTATAAAACATTAAATGAATTAATGTATTCGCAACACACTCGAGTAATTTTAAAACGCTCTGAATTGCCGGTCTGCAACCATTAATAAACATTTCCTCGAAACTTTTGGGGCGTTTAAGGTCTCAAAGACCTTTTATAAAGTTCAATTGTGCGGTTCTAATTGTATAATGTATATATACCTTTAATCTATTCTTTTAAAATTACATTGCATATATACATACACAGCGCTTTGAAATGACATGTTTGAAGTAATAATTTTTATCCAATTATGAGCATGCTTCTAAAATCAGTAAAATATTAAGCATCATAGGTAATCGTATATCCCAATGATATACGTATGTATATCTCAAATCGTAAAAAATGCAAGCTCGCAACGTAGTCTTCTACCGCCAAAGTTGTGAGATCCAATGTAAAAAAGAGTCGGTTAATTTATTCAGTACCTATCTATGAAAGCATCTATCCTACAACTTTGACAAATTATAACCTAATTTATTAAATAACATGTTATAGTAACCTTATCAATATTAGATATCTTTATTTATCTAATAAATAGAATGATTTCACCGGTAAGTGAGTTAGTGATGAAATTAAAGACTTTGACCTGCAATAGTTCTTAAACTCCAGGTTCAAATTGAATGTCATTTGGGAATATACTTACCTAGTTATATTATATCCTCTTAGTCATTAAAAATTCTGCCTTCTAGCTTTATCTACAACGAAGTCACAGAAGGGTTGAAAATATCCTGAGGAGCTTGGAGGAAAGGCACCGCCGTAACATGCCTGTGCCTTTTTTTGCTTGACGTGGCGGGGGCTTTGCCGTGCCCCCTGATATATGAGATATTTAAAATGTTCACAGTATACAAATCGCTAAGCTTATTTATTTTATAGGTACCTACTAGTAATCGTTCATTGGATGATTAAAATTTGAAGAAAACATATTATGTACATGAATAGAATTTACCTATGTAGGTGTATTATGTACCTACATAGGTAAATAAAAAAAAATGTTTACACTAACAAAATTGATAAAACTAAAGCACGTCAATAGTTACTAAATAAAAAAAGAAAATCTGTTGACAAATAAACGAGAAAAGTTACTGAACTGTTTAGTCTTTATATAGTACAATAGCGACTCACCCTCGCTTCGCTCGGGTTCGTCCCTAGCTTGGTTCCAGATACAAACTTTCATCCCCATTTTCACCCTCTTAAGGGATGATTTTCGAGATAAAAATTATCCTATGCCCTTCCCAGGGTCTCAAACTATCTTCTTATAAAATTACATCTAAATCGGTTTAGTAGATCCAGAGATTACCCCTTACAACGTCACAAACTCACAATATGACAAACTCAAAAACTTTACCTCATTATAATATGAGTATAGATAGATTTACACAACATATATAGAAGTTTTTTTGTTGGGTCAAATCTTGCAAATTAATTTAAAAGCAGTTAACTTCAACTGATGGAACTGAAATTTTGCATACACGTTTAGTTTGAATGACAATTCATGGCTAGCTAAGTGACGTTATTCTAAATCCAATATAGCGGACTCCCAAAGATGGCGGACTACGTTTTTTTATCTATGGATATTAAACGAAAGGGTTTGCTGAGAAGAATACGAATAAATAAAAGCTTACAACATAACAAGAATATAATATGTAACTTGATCTTGACATAAGTACTTTTTAGAAAAAAAAAATGTTTTTTTTTTTATAAAATAGCTAAATCGCGACTAGCTTTATATCATATAAATTGTGTAATGTAATGAATTGATGGGTTTGATTTAATTTAAAGTTTATTTTCTTCTTTTTAGAGCATTTAAATAAAAGTTTGTTTAAAAAATATTTTTTTACAGTTAATTTATTCTATATTTACTTTATACACATAATAAGAGTAATAAGCATAAAGATAATAGTTATAAAAGTCGTTACGCGGTGTTTACGCCTTTTGTGTTTACGAGCTAGTTAGTAGTTAGTTCTGGTCTCTAGATAAGGGTAATTACTGCTTAAAATAGAGTTTCCGTATTACAAAAAAATAAGGATTTTTATAAGCAAAGCAAATGAAATTGGTATTAATTGGCTAAATAGTCTGATATTTTAAGAAAAAACTATAGCACATTTCAACATTTCTATTAAAGAAAAAAAAATATTTCAATTGTCAATTGGAATTTTAAAATGAATCGATTTGGTATCGATAATTAACTAAAATTACTAAATAAAAAATTAAATTCAGAAATGTACTTATATTGAAATTTAAAAAAATACTGTAATATAATAATATTTTTTTAAATTCATCCCGTAAGGAGGAAAAAAAGGGTTAAAAGTTTGTGTGAACCCACCTTTGTAGAGTTTTTTATTATAGTAATTTTAGCGCGAGCGAAGCCGCGGGTTCTGCTAGTATAAAATAAATAAAAATGAATTTTGCTTTACCTTACATATTTCATACATTCTTATGTAAAAAATAAATTATTTTGACAGTTTGTAAATCAACACCATCTATCGCAATTTGAACAAATAAAAATAGCTTGAAAAATAGCTCTAATAAAGGCTGTCCAATTTCTTTGTATAGAACGGGTTAACGGGTTCATTGTATAAAATTTCTGATATTTTCATATGCGAATCATTTCCAACACGATTACCGCGTGTCTTGCGGTAAAAAATATATTGTGAGGAAACCTGCATGTCTGAGAGAACTACCAACTGAAGAACTAACTCTAGCAAGTTTTCGAAAGATATGCTCAGTCCACTAACCCGCACTTGCCTGCGTGATAGACTATGGCCTGATGCTTCTTGTAGTAAAAGTAGGCCCGTGCCCAGCAGTGGGATGTTAAAGGGGGTGAATATATAGAACAGGTTTTCTGTAGTAATATATTATTGTGGGATAAGTGGTATTAATATATTAATAAATATTTTTCACTCACGTATTGAAGCACTTAGATAATGTTAGCAGCCAATACGTGTTGAGTATGACCGCACTGCACACATAAGTCTCATTCTTTAACAAAGCGGCTGAATATGGATGTTTCAATACTTGAGTGACTGCTGCACCTATGCGTTCTTCGCTATCGTCTCCATCTGTAAAGAGACCACCTCAATGAAAATTGCTTTACTCAATATAATAAAACTAGAGATTTGGATCAAAAAATCTCTCTCTGTTTTTTCATTTACTTTTATTACGGTTTATAACAACTATATAATATAACCTCGAGGCAAAACCCTCTTAAGGGTTAATTCCGGGATAAAAAGTATCCTATGTCCTTCCCAGGGTCTTAAGCTATCTTCTTACCAAATTTCATCTAAATCGGTTCAGTAGATGCAGAGATTACCTCCTACAACATCACAAACTCACAACCACAATCTAACAAACTCACAAACATTACCTTTTTATAATATTAGTATAGATTATTATTATGTAGAATAAATTGTACGGGATATTTGACCCAATTTGAAGTATAGGCGCTAGTAGAGGCTAGTGAAGTAGAGTATTAGTTGCTTAAAAGCAAAATGACAATGTAAATACGTATTAAAAAAATGATAATTATAAAGAAAATTTATGTAAATAGTAATATTTTTTCATTCTAGATGAATTCATTATATTTTAAGCATACTGCTCATCGATTTTCACGGACGTATTACTTCCAGTCTAGATACCTTATGTTGAGTAATTAAAAATTACATAAAAAGTTTGTATATATATGTATATTTAAATATTCTTATATTTTGTATAATCTGTATAACTACAAGATCATCATCGCCATTATGTTAGCCGAAATAAGTCTAGAGCTGGATTTAGAGTCTAAGTTCTCAAGATCTCGTTTACAGTTTTGTGCTAACCGTTTCCAGTAGACTTTGTTGTCGTTTAACCTAATAGGAAGAACATACCACATTTCACTTATGGGTACACTGAACACGTGAATTTTTAATTCCTCCATATTCCCCATCTACTATCATTTTAGCTTGGAGATTAAGTAGGCTATATTGGTTATATAGATCCTTTATACACCTCCTTGGTACAGAATTCATCTCATAAGAAAACCTATCATAGTCTTCCCCACTACTCTTTAGGTAACCTTAAGATTTCTTATGAATTCCATCGTGAATCTTTTATGTATGATAAAATATATTTAAAAATGTGAAATTCTCTTACAATGCTGACTACAATATTTTTGTTATTATTTCTTTATTTAAGCCAGTTGTTTTATTTAAACATCTATACGTATATTAAAATTCTGAGTCGAATCTTTACATAAAATATATATTGGAATTTTTAGAATTTTTGTCTATCTGTCTGTCTGGGTCTGGGAACGCATCACAAGAAAACCACTGAACAGATAGGCTATATAATATTGCACAAGCTTTTAATGCCACTTATAATGAGAAAAGCACTTTATTTTTAAATAACTCTCTTTTATTAGGTATCAAGTCTTATCTTACAGAAAATAGTATGCTTTCTCAAGATACTAAATCCTCTATTTTCCTTAGGATTAAACCAGGACTTACCTACATCTTTTCGCTGGGAGTAATTTCGCGTGACATTGTTCTCTCCGCTTAGGTCCCGGTCTCCTTAAATGAGATAAACAATAAGATTGTTATTTTATTTATTAGTTTCGTAGTAACTGACTGTTTTACTTACAGAGATTTTCATTTCCTAAGCTGTATATCAGGATAAATGTTATATGTATAAATAACTAGCAGAACCCCAGCTTCGTACGCGCTAAAACTACAAAAAAATCTCTAAAAAGTTAGGTACCTATGTTTCATACAAACTTTCATCCCCTATTTTACCCCCTTATAGGACGAATTTCAAAAAAATGTTAAAATACGTATTTATTTATTCGTGTTGAAGAGCATTAATATCAAGTTTCAAGAAATTCTGATCAGACATGAATTTTAGGATTGTATTATAACGTGTTTTCCCGTGGGAATGAGATGATTTTCGATAAAAAGTAGCCTATGTCACTCTCCAGCTCTCCAACTATCTCCACACCAAAAATCACGCCATCATTATAATATTAGTATGGATTTATAGACTTATCACAGGCGTAAATCAACTGTCCAACCTCATGTACAAACCTATTTTCATAATTGTATACGATTACTACACAAGTGGCTATTTAATATATAAACGAAGGTATTTATTGCCAGGTATTTTTCTAGGTAAATAAAATTTGGTTTACTTCTCACGTATATTTTCAATTAAATTAATCATAAAGGAAACAGGATTAGCTTAGCGAGACTGGGCTATAAATAACTTTTATTTATACATTTACATAATAATTATTTTATAGATACAGATTTCATTCCATATTTAGTATACAATATTATAAATAAATAAATATGTTGAGACAGTTCTATGGTAAGCTACGAGGCTTGTGTTATGGATACCAGATAGTTGATACACTACACATATATAACTTTAAATACATACATATTATAAATATAAACACCCATGATACAAACATTCGTGCTCATCACAAAAATAAATGCCCCCAGCGGGACTCGAACCCGCGACTGCTGGCACAGCAAATAGAGTCACTACAAACTGAGCCGAACATTATTGTTTTACTTATTTTTAAATATATATTGAATAGTTTGTACATCCGTAAAAACTACTTTTCTTCTTAAAAATATAATGTTACCAGATTCCCCAGTATCTTCATCTTCATTTTCGAGTTTTCCTTGAACCAGGATGAAAGTGACGAACAGTAAAAAGCCAATATACCGCATCTTTGCAACGCCCTATTACAGTTTATTGAAAGCTTATGTTAGTTTTGTGATTACTCGTGATATAGCGCTTAGAATGTATAGAAGGGGAACTTTTTTTTAATAAATTGTTGTATATATTTCTGGTATGTTTATTAGAAATATAATAATTCATTATTATCGAAATTTTAACTTGTTTTTGATTAAGAGTACTTACATTTCCTACAGAATATTTTTAATAGAAATCAAACCTTCTATAATCGCAGGTTATATACTCGCTCCATAACAACGATTATAATGACACTATTACATACCTGTTTGCTTATTAAAAGAACTTATATATTTATTTATTCACTAGTTGAAAAAATATTTTTATAACTTTTATCGTATATTGTCTATTTATTAAGATTTGAATAAAAAGATATATAAGTTTTCACCAGCAGCTACGGTCACATAGTATAAAACAAATACTAAATAAAAAGCCCACTCTATTCAGTTCTATGTTCAACACCAAACAGGATGTTTTCTCTCGAACTATAAGTGTTTACGTCTAACGCGATATGACCGCGAACGAAACGAAATCGAGCGAAGGAACCAATATCGCAAGGAGCAATAAACGTCTAATACACTTCGCTAATGTAACATATATTGAAAACGGCATAAGTTTAAGTATTATGTATTGTATGTATGTATATAATTTAGCCCTTTTTAACGTCCCACTGCTGAGCACGGGCCTCCCATTCAATACGATGGGGATCAGGCCATAATCCACCACGCTGGCCAAGTGCGGGTTGGCGGACTTCACATGTCTTTCGAAAACTTGCTAGGTTCTCTCTTGCTAGGTAATCAATCATATTAAAAATGATTTACACATGAAAATATCAGAGGTGCGAGACCCGGGAATTGAACCCGCTTATTACATGTATCTATACATACATTGTATTAAATGTATACATACATATTTACTTGTGCCTAGCTAAAGAAATACGAGCCCGGAACTTTGGTATAGCAGAAATATCACAAAGAGCTATTAACGTCTTACGATCTCAGTAGAACACGTTCTCTCTTAGTGCCTTACGTCCTCATAAAGTGCTTAGAAATTACATTACGTTATTTTACGTTCGTATATAATACATTTTATCGTTGTATTTATGCCTATATATAAAACTGGGAGACGGTTATGTAAATTAAGTGATTTGTTAACAAATTCAAGGTCGTGACTTCAATTTCCGCTCCGGGTAAATCTCAATCAACTCTGTTGGTAATAATGTCGTTATTTGTATTCGGTCTGCTTAGAACTAAGGAAATTAAAAATAATTAGAACCATATTAAAGTGTTTGTTATTATTGTATAAAAAAGGATTTATATATTCTATTTCTTCAGTTTCTAAATATATCATTGGTAGCAATTTCATTAAATTATATTAGTCTGAAGCTCAGCCAACCATTTGGAGTCACCGTCAGCTTCTCCAATATTCACTTACCAGTGAAAGCAGAACATGCTAGCATGTTCTTCATTCATTGCTGGGCTTTACAGCATTTGAGCTCCAATCCGCAATGTCTATAACTTCCCACCTGACAGATTTTCATGGTCCAGCCATTTTGAATATAAGGTCTTATTACTATAACACAACTGTTAACGACACTATTTATTATTTATTATTATACTCATTTTTGTAATATTGATTCTAATAAATTTGAAGGTAGCAATGATTATAAATTTTGACATTAATAAAATATGAGAGTATAATAAAAAAATAAAGGTGGGTGGTGGATAAAAAGTGGGAGAGGACGCAGGTTGTGTGTAAGGAAGTTTAAAAATGTTTATTGTAACTATAGGCTGAATTTCTATAGGCATAATTTAATACAACGGAAAGTTCCTAAACTTTTTCTAAACTTAGATACTACAGTGTATTATATAATAGAGCAAGTGAAAAACAAACTTGATACGCCGAGTGAGCTCCTTCGCTAATAGCCACTTGGACGTTAATGGGGGCTTATCTTAATTCGTGTCGCCTTACACTGTGTTTTCCTGCGGCTGAAGGTATATCATATAGCTCTGATAAGGAAAACGATAAGGAACTTTTAGTGATTGAGAGCTGAGAAAGATTCGCTATCCGTTTATTATGTGTGTATATTTTTTATGCCACGGCAGCGATCTATACTATGCTCAATGCCAAAAATTCACACCATTATACCGTGAGAAACCGTTCCCTTTCTCGGAATAGTCATTTTAATTGCCTATATTCTGTAACCGTCATGTAATCTTAAACATCTAAAGTCTAATTAAAATGAGTCCGCGTCAGAGCCGTCCCAGAAATTACCGGATACAGACTGATAGACAGACAACAATTGTCCAAGAATCATTGGGATAATCCCAATGATTCTTGGACGTTTCATAATAATACTTTTACGTTAATAGACATTTTTTCAAAGCTTCCATTGATTTGGAGAATATTTCATTTGTATATTTATTGTGTATATCCAAAATTACGTGCTATTCTAAAATTATAAATGCAAAATTTTACAAGGGAAAAGTGATGATGGTTTGAATGAAATTTATAATGAAATTAGCCTATAGGCTTATAAACTATCCTTATCAAATACTTAGTGGATAAAGCGAGTTAGAAAAATTATATGGAAAATTATATTCATAGGCAAGCGAAGCCGGGGCAAGTCGCAAGTTATAAGAGTACAATTGAAATACAAAATAGAACGTTGAATGTAAGTAGTTATGTCGCTTTAAGAACACCTGTGGCCCAAAAGCAGGATAGCTGAAACGCTGAGTCGTAAAGTTTGATAGCATTAACATCGCTTGACGTGGTGACTTGTCCGTTTGGCAATTCATAATGCATGTGACATCATGAGTTTGATACTCGCGCGTGGTAACCTTTATTTAGTACTAGCGTTTCCGGCTCCGCCTGTATTGATGATTTATATATTACTATCAGAACCCGCAGCTTCGCTCGCGCAAAGGCTACAAAAAATCTCTAATAAGGTACTTTGATACAAACTTTCATCCTCTATTTTAACCTCTTATAAAATGAATTTCGAAAAATGCTAAAACACGTACTTATTTAATGTTATTGAAGAGCATTAATACCAAGTTTCAAGTAATACTAATGAAAAACATTTTGTTGGATTGTGTTATACAGTATTTTTCCGTAGGAATTAGGTAAAGTTACGCGGTAAAAAGTAGCCAATCTGTCACTCTGTTTCGACGTGAAAGACGGACAAACAAATAAACAAACAAACAAACACACTTTCACATTTATAATATTAAAGTATAGATTAAGTATTTGTAAATGGTTTATGTGTTACTCTGATGAATCAGCTATTATTACTGTAAAGTTTTATCAAAAAACGATTAGTAGATTTTGTGTGACAGAGTATCAAACATAAATACATACATCCATACATAGAAAACATGCATAATACTATAGACATATGTTTATTTCTATATCTATTACACCTTGATACTAGAACATCTGAGAAAATAAGAAATTTACGTTATAAAGATTGGTTTAGATTTTCGTAATATCTTTTTATATAAAAAGGCGAAGACATAATAGTAGGGGAGCCCACGATGCTAAATGGGGATTTACTCGAGCGTCGTAGAGACCTATTGGGATGCAAAGCTTAGATGATAAGAAGAAAAAAATGTTATATGATATATACCTTTACATCGGTGGGGGAAGCGGCTATAGATTTTTAAATATGTAAAAAAAAACTGTTGCATAGACATCCTCGAGCGCGTCAGATATTGATAGCATCAATGCCCTACGTATTTTTAATAATGTACGTATGTTAATCTGATCGTTTGCATGATGCGGGTGGTTGTATTTAAGGGTTGAAAATGAAAAAAAAAATTTAATCGAGCGCGTCAGATTTTCTAAGGGAGTGTTAAGTGCACCAAAAAAAAGCTCTCATTCACTAATCTGACGATTTCGATGGGACGCAAACTCGCGGCCATTTTCATAATGTGCAAAAAAAAATTGCCATTTTGAAATACTCAAGCGCGTCAGATTAAGATATATATGGTTCATCTTTATGTTCTAAACGTACTGTCTCATAATCTGACGATTATCTAGAGGGATTCGCCTGATCTGAAAAAAAAAATTAGAAAAACGGTTCACCTTAAAGGCCATACCTGCAACTTCCCGCTAATTCCATTCCTGGGCGCTTAAAATTGTACTTATGACATTTTTGAGCTCAAAATATAATTTATGAGATATTTTGAGCTCGCTGAGTTCAAAGAAATAATATTTCTATGCATTTGAGCTCTCCCAGCTCGAAAGTCTGATAGAAGTTTCATAGAACACTATTTTTGGAATTTTCAAACCGCAATAACTTTTGAATAGATCAAGCAATTTTCACGCGGTTGACGCCATTCGACGCAGTTTTATCATCCTCATAAATTATTTTCAGGTTTTAATTGATCGAACCAAAAATTTCGGAGTAATCCCGAAAAAACACTTCTTTCGGTTTTCTTTCGTACACGATATCTCTCGAACGAATCAATCGATTTTGACCGGATTAGCGACGATCGGCGTGGTTTTTCTAGCTTAAGGGCGGATTAGTTTTTGAAGTTAATTGATAAAGCTGGTTAAAAGTTATTCCAAAAAAACCACTTTAGAGATTTTTCAAAATTTCTCAAAATCTATCGTCCGAATCGGTTCAAATTCACAGGAAATCTAATTTTGAGGGAAATCTTTAGAACGCCGTTTAGTAGATTCCGATCGGTTTAGTCGTTGAAAAGATATAAGCGAGTCACACATACACACACACATACATACATACAGACTTAGTGACAACATCATACTTCACACAAATAATATTAAAATAGCAAAAAAAGCCAAAACGTTGGAAACACGTTGTAAACAGTATGCCACGAACGAGTCTTTATGATCAGCTGTGATGGCGTCATGGCGGCAGAAACCAGAGTGGGGACGGAGTGAGAGAGTAATAGATAGAGAAAGAGTGAGAGAGGAATAGACACGCGGAGAAGGAAATGTAGGCATCACG